TTTATATTTTATAAAAACATTACAAGAAATTTTTTAAATATAAATTTACAATTCTTAATTAAAAAATCACTGTAATGTTAAAGGGTTTTTCCCCTCTCGTGCAATTATAAATTAAGTTATCAATGGAGTTTTCAGGGAAAACATCTTTTTTCAATCCCTTACATGTACTGTACAGTATACATATACACACCCATATACAGTATTTTAATATTGAATGTTTTCTTAAATTTAAAAATATATTCTTCAATCTCTTATAATTACATAAATTAATCGATCAAAGCATTATCTATAATGAGTTTACCAAATACTGTATTTCGTAACTGTGTTAACAACCGCGATCGCACGATATCGAAATTATAGCTGAGAAAGATAACTTGCTAAATAAGTGCTTAGTAAACAAGAAAATTATATATCACATAACAAAAATTAAAAAAAAAGTAAAAGAAAAAATTAATTAATAATGCGTAGATACTGTGCATATGTTGCGCGTTTAGACTATTTATTTCCATTTTATTAATGGTATAAACCTGTTTAAATTCCATGTTTACGACTAGAAGTTTTTTATTTGTGTATAAAATAATTTGCAGATAAAATTTTCCAATCGGAAATTTGAAATTTACACTTGTTATCGCTTCCCGCTCCCATTTTGTATCCGATTAAACTGTACTGTGAAACAATTATCGAGGCTTATAAACCACTGTTCTTGATAAATTTAAAACAATATACAAATGCCAAGTTTTCGATGATTCAGCATATAAATTTAAATAGATTTAGAGAGAAAAGCTATAAAAAATTTTTCCTCGGTATAAAAAAAATCAGCGAGATGATGGATGATCTCCTTATTCTAGGCGTTTTATAGACCTAAATATTAATGAATAACCTATAGCGATATTTGAATCTATGTTTTTGTAGATCTTAGATTAGATCACTTGTTTCTTTCGACACTAAATGATATTTGCAAGATAGAACATAGAATGCAGACGCCAAAGAAGNATTTATATTCACAAAAATGAAACTGAAGAAAAATAAATGTTCTCCATTAAATTAAATTGAATATATGTAATTTATTTAATAAAATATTATAATATAACTAATAAAACAATTTATGATTTTTATTATTAAGTTTCTTATCAAATAGCATATTAATTCTATACAATAATATGTTTTTAAGCTCATATAATTTATAAATTTTTAAAATATTTTTAACCAATAGAAATAAAGGATCTCAAAATTTCGCAAAACGATTTCTAATATTTCGTATTTTTATTTTAACATAAACGAAATAAAGCGTAGATAATTTGAAAGTTTAACATAATAATAATAAATAATAAATAAATATTAAACTGTTGTTTAGTAACTTTAAAAATAACATTTTAAAAACAAAAACAGCCTTAGGTCAAATATGTTTTATTGGCTGTTATTAATTTTTTAAGAAAAATTTAAAATAGTTTATTATTAATATTTAAAAATTTGTTGATGTATAAAAATAAATAAGAATATTTACTAAGTAAATGTTATAAACGTTAAAGTTAGTAAAATAATAAAATAAATTTTGACCAATGAGAGAGGCGAATACACCGAAACCATTCGCTGCGAAGATGGTGACGTCTTTGGGAGAATGTGATCGTGATCGGATTAGGACTGATTAGGATGTGGGAGAGACGAAAGTTAATGTGAGGTGTGATGCGGCGGTGTGGTTCATCGTAGCATTTTTTCCCGTCGAGAACGTTGTTAAGAGGTTTCTGTATTGTTTAGTTAACTTTATAAGACTTAATTAAGACTGAATTAATCGAAAAGAATGGCTTTTAGAACAGCTATAATATGTTTTTATTTGTTTGGTATGAGTTGGGTCACGTCTGCACAAAATACTTCACATAGTAACAATACGGCAGAATTTACAAATCTGACAACGGTCCTCAATTACAATAAGGATTTATGCACAGAAGTAAGGCAGTTGTTTGTAATGAAACATATAGGAAGTTCCGACCTAGTTCCAGATCAGCAAATCAAAGGTAATATTCGAGATGAATTGCTTTTGGACTGTCCCCAATCAATTTGTTATGGGTCCAGTCCATAGACTAATCATTAACATTTTTTCTCTTTCTCTTCTTTAATTTTATATTTTATAAAATTCGTATATTTATTTAACATATGAATTTGATTGAACTCTAACCTTAAAAAAATTATATATATATATATATATAACAGATTGTGTTTTAAGGCTGTGAATTAATTAAAGCATTAAAACAGAAAAAGAAATTCCAAGAAAAACTTTTATAACAGGAAATGATACTTAATTTCATACATTAAATGAAAACCTATAAAGTAGTAATTGTCGTCTTTTGTAATTAAAAGTGGGATCAATTAACATTTTTCAGTGTTTTAAAAATCTCGATTTATCTCCAGTGTTCTATTTAATCTGGGACGACCCTCAGGCAATTAATATTGCAATGTCTCCTCGATAAATCGGAATTATGATTTTTCATTCTGTGTAATAATTTGAGTGTGATGCACGATTCTATTTTTAATAATCATCACTTGTAGAAAATCTGAAAACTTTTTTTTTATTTTATTTTATTTATAGAAAATATGAAGTTTTTGTTTAAAAATGTAATAGAATATTGTACAAAAGCGAAAAATCTATACAGTTTTGTATTTGTTTACAATTGAAAAAAAGACTTTTATAATAGTTGTTTGTCAATGATCTTTTAATTTAATTTATAAATTACTTCTAAAAACTTTTGCAGCATTATTGTAAAAAATCAATTACCTTTATTACATTATAGAAGCTTGACATGCCTGTTTAGTATTTAAGTACTTTAAATTGTTGTTACTACAATATAATTTGATTGTTATAAATATAAAAAATTGATTTGATTTTGTTAAAATTGATATTTGGATGAGTCGAATTTTTTAGATTCCTGCCTTTCGTTCGAGCTTCACCGAGTGTTATTAAGCAGATTTTCATTGATATTAATTAATTTGTTTTTATTACTTTTTGTTATCTATTTTTAATGTAAATTTTTAGAAAAGTACAAATATATATGTATATATTACATACACAAATAGGCATTGAAAATGTATGTATATGCATAATTATTTAAATAGNATTATAATAATGGTTGTATACTAGTCATTTTTGTAGTTTTTGCTATTTTTCTAGATTCTTTTATAAATGTTTGTAGGTGGTACAGTCATTTAAAAAAATCACAAGTCTTTTCAATTATATACACCCACTTAGAGCAGTATACAGTAAATATGTTCCATTTTAGAACAGTGTATGTCTTAAAATAATTTTAAAGCAAAGCTGCTGCTTCTATATACAGTATATATAAATCTTTTGTGATGGTTTATTTTTAATAAACTGCCACAATTATATAAATTGCTTTAAATAGTGTATGATCACTTTATTCTGTTTATACAGTATTTTTGATTTTTGTCTACATTTTACTTTAAATAAATAAAAATGTTTGTTTAATATTTAAATATAATTTTCTTATTAAAAAAATGGTTTCTAAAAATAACTGAATTTATAATTTAAAAAAGCACACTTCTTTACTAAGAAGTGAATTTTTCTGTATTGAATTAGGTTAATTTTAAACATATGTATCAATAACTGTCCTATTTTAACTGGCAAACTTGTTTAGTTTGTATCAAAGATTTTATAAAGTACATTCTCTGCTATATTTTTTTAATAGATATAAATATTCTCAGATGTAAAATATGATTTGTGTATAATTTTTTTAAATGTATGAATAAATATATTTAGGTTCATGTATAAACTTAGATAACAAAACTGATATTAAATCTATAACTGTGATTTTAAAAATATGAGAGAAGAAAAATTGAAATAAATTTATGCATAATTAGTTAAATACTTTGATAAAAATACTTACTATATATGATTGTTAAATTTTCAAAGTTTTTAATTTGTGTATTTGTCACTCAAAACTAAAAAGTAAATGTACATTTTAAACTTAGAATATAACAAAGAACACCAAACTTTACAATTAAGGTTTGAAAGTATAATACTTAAATGTTAATACACTTGAATTAAGTTAAATAGACAAAAAATAAAATTATATTTATAAGTGCTTTTGATGAAAATATATATCTATCCTCTTTGCATTAAGAACAAATGGAAAAAAGAATAACAGATTTTTAGAATAGTTAAATATTTACAAGTATTTGTGTATATACTTTTATTTATTTATTTATTTATTTTGTATCAATATCAAACAGTTGTAATATTTTCACATCAGACATTCTAGAAGGTAATGTAATTTTAACTGGAAAATTAGAGAATGCAATTCATTTTAATGAATATTATATATAGTTTGTTATATCTGCATCTAAAATATTACATTCAGGATGAATAAATGATTATGCACAAGTTAATGTTTCAAGATATATTTTCTCTTGTAAAAGTCAGTTTAGTTTTATATGCAAATTTAAGTTAGGAATTGAACATGATTATTTTAATAACTAGTTCCATTATCTACTCTAGTTCGGAAATGGACAAACACTATTACTACTAACAAAGTAGAACAACAATTAATGAAGACCTGGGACATTTTGGCCATATTAAGCAATAATCTTTTTAAAAAACAAAAATAATATTAAACAGTTCAAAAAATTAATTTTAAAAACTTGAATTAATTCAAACTTTTGAAGTAAACTAAATTTTAAATGAATTATGTAATCAAAAATTGCAAATTGTTTATTCTTTTAAACCACTTTTTTTTTTAATATGGTTAAATCTAAATAGAATTTAATGTTAACAGAAATAATAGAAAGGGTAGATGAGATTCAAGAATTTTAAATAAAGATTTAAGATTTCTGAAAATATCCATTTTTATTTACAAAAAATAAAAATCAATATCTTACTTGATGGTGATATATTTTACTTGAAATAAAACAATTGAGAGTTATAAGATTATCTAATCTTGAATTTTTAACAACTTAAAATAAACTTAGAAAAATTAATAATCTCATCTTGTCAATCTAGCACTGTTAAATAAGCTATAGATCTATGTCTTTATTATTTCATTGTTATTTCAAAGTCAAGTTATTTCTCTTTTTTTATTGAACCTATGTACAGAGTTATTTGTTTTATTATTCATACTTGGATATTTTTTTACTACTACTATAAAATCAAATTTTTACTTTTTCCTTTTAATATTTTATTCTAATTTTTTTTTGTTACAAGAAGTAACATGTAGAATATCTTTAGACTGCTAAACAACAATTCTTTACTTAATATTTTTAAGATTATTATATTGTAGTGTATTTATGTAATATATATTTTTTGTTAAAATTGTTTAGAAGAAAAAAATAATAGGGAAGTCCTTTAGAAATATTAACACTAGTAAAATCATTAAAAATAAATTTATGGATTGATGCTAATTTTATTATTAGTAAGATCACTAATATGTACATTAACTAAAAAATAAAATACAATAAAATGAAATTAAAACATCATAAAAATGACTTCACTATATATAATTATTGAAAAATTTAAATGTTGAAAATCCAGACTAATTGGCACCAGACCTCATTCATATTTTCAGTTTGTCCAGATTTTCAGTTGTGTGTGTAAAGTAGTATTTTAAATACAGGTTGAATATTACTGATTTGGCACCAATTTTGGGTAGGATAATTTCAAATTTTTCAAGTCACCTCACCATCCTGCCACTATTGTTTGGTGGTGCCAGATGTACAATAATTATTTTTTGCATGATAATATTGCACTGTGTGATATACAATAATACTTATATGATGATGACAAAATATACAGTACAATAATTTTACAAGGATTTTCATTTAATGTTTTTTCTTAACCAGTGTACTGATTTATGGGGTATTTTAAAGGTAAAGTCCTCGTCCTACCTTTAAAATACCTCATAAATCAGTACATTGGTTAACAAAAAAAACATTAAATGAGAAGGCTTGTCAAATTATTTGCTGGTGGTTAGCTGTTGGGTTAAGTGAATTCTAACCCAATCACTCTGATCCAGCAAAATCCCTAATATGACACCCTACAGTCCTAATGATGCTGGATTAGTGATGGTTGACCTGTTATGTAAATTCCAAATACACTGTAATTCAAGTTTAGGTATTCTAAGTTCAAGCCATTGTTTCACAAGAAATATAAGAATACTTAGGAAGATTCAAAATATAATTTGCAGAATCAGTATATTTAAACAAAATTATACTAATCAGTTTCAAAATTAAAAAAAAGATGAATTCCTGAATGAATGTTAGAATGTTAATAATGCAAGGCTGAAAGAACATGAGCTGTAAAGCTACCATTAAAAGGGTTAATTAATACTCATTTATCAATGGACAAGTCTTTATTTTTGACACTTTACTGTTTATAATTATACAGTAATACAATGTCATCTAGCCAACTATTTAAATTTTTCATGAAGGAACATTTTTGTCCTGTTTTAGGACAGCTTCTTAATGTATACAAGTCACTGTTCCAACTGGCTTGTGCACATTAAGAAGCTGTCCTAAAACAGGACAAATCTTCTTTTGTGAAAAATTTAAACAGTTACCTACATGAAAGTAAGCATTTTTATACAGATAACAGTAAGGAGCAAGAAACACATGGAGTAATATTTGATAATACTTTGTCATGAGGCTAACTGTATTTGAATATTTCTATTCTTTCTAAAATGAATAATAATTTATTACTGGTTAAAATTTAAGAGGATGAAAACACAATTTTTTTACACTAAGAAATGATACAGCAAAACAGGAGATTAAATAACAATCAATTGTGGCAAACTAAATTCAATAAAATACTGCAATCATTTGGTGTAACTAATCTTTTATTTGAAAATGATAAACGTGACTATTGCTGAGTCAAGCAACAATATATATCACAATCTACTAAAGATCAAGATAGTCTGCTAATTTACTTACTCACCTTGGTATTGAAAAAATATCCTTTCATCTCAACCATATATAAAAAATTTATAGGTATCAATGTGAAAACACTTAATCA